ACTTATAGACAGTTATCTATTATTATATTGTTATAGGTCTCTTAGCCTGATAGTGTAAAACTATACACTGTTAGTTAATAGGAGTTAAAGGGTAGCCTAGTGCACTAAGCTTCCGTTATGCGCATGATTCGGAAAAGGGCCGGACCACAAGGGTCTATCGCATGCAGCCTTACCCTGTATTTTTGCAAGAGGCTATTTCCATGGCTCGAACTCGTGGCTTCCTGGTCACATGACAACAACTTTATCAGTTACGCTAAGATTCCCCTTATGTTAGTTAATAGAAGTTAAACTCCCATAAAATTTAACATATATATTGATAGTGTAAAGCATTTTAACTGATGATAACACATTGTTTACTACATTTTAGATTACCAAATAAGAATTACTATAAAAGGTTTCATCTTAACTTGATAGTGAAGAAAACCTGACACTGCCGGTGCACGGAAGTTAAACTCATGACTATATAACAGTGATATATTATCATCAATATTGCAAGATAGTTTATTGTCCATGATTGACTTGTAATGAATGTGAGTTCATTGGCAGCTTGCACTAAAGAAGGAAAGGAAGCATATGGAAAAGCATGTTCTTCAACAAATCATGGTAGAAGGAAAGCAGTAATTCTAGCTGGTCTGTACTCTGTACTAGTGACAGTAATTTCAATTGAATTCGGCATGTTTTAACTCATAACAGAAAGCAGGAGGTATTGAAATAACCAAACTGAATTTGCTATGCTCGATTGAACTCCTTTTTACATTATCACTTCTTGGAACTACACATTCATCTGTTATAAAATGGACCCGTTTTTTCCTCTATGAATAGTTACATGTTATCGCAGACCACATTTATTTGATGGTGCAAATGAAATTTACATTGTTATTGCAGAAAAGTTGATCTTGTGGTCCGGCCCTTCCCCGAACCCCACGTATAACGGGAGCTTAGAGTACCGGGCTGCCCTTTTAGCGCAGAAAAGTTGACTGTGTGAATTTTTATTTTTTTTTACACATTACTGCATTTTAACATGTTGTAGAATGTAATTTACCTTATTTTCTGAGTCATACAAATCTTACTTTTTATATACAATTACATGTAATTTGCCTTATTTTCCGAGTTACTAATCTTACTTTAAAAAAACACAAAGTGTTAGTGTATGGAAGTTAAATAGGAAAACGGGTCAATAAATCTATGCAGGTAGTCAGCCTTGATTGTGGACAATGTTGGGGATTTAAGTAATATTCACTGATTGTATAAAGAACTTTTATATTATCCGTATAATCTAACATGTTGCATCATGCAACCTGCCTTATTTATTAGGTTACTAATCCCGCTTTTTATGGGAGAAGATCACCTGTATTTTTCTTTAAGTGACTTGATAGTGTAAAAGATTTTTTTATATTGACAATGTATAGAAGTTAAACTCGCGATGTTGTGTCTTAAATCAATATTAACTTCTTTGATTTTTCTGGAGAAGAGAGACTCATAGCAATTGTCTACATATGCACAGGAGTACTCACTTCAGCGCTCACTATCACCTCCTTGACAGCACTTTTCTGTGTTCTAAGACGGCCTATGAAGACAGACATATTTGATCATCCTAGTATGACTCGGAGTCAGGGTAACATCTCATTCCAGAAACCTTGTACTATCCGAATGTTTACTTACTATGAGCTAGAGCAGGCCACTAAAGGTTTTCAAGAAGATCAAACACTTCTTGATCATGGTGGCAAAGCTACACTATATTCTGGAACTCTAACGGACGCATCAGCTATAGCTGTACACAGACTACAATGTGATAGTGAACAAGAACTAGTCGAGGTCTTGTCTCGAGTGGAGGCATTGCATGCTGTTTCACACAAGAATATTGCCCAGATTCTCGGATGGTCTGTTGATTCAGGATACACCCCATTAGTGGTGTACGCATATCCTGTTAATGGAATGCTCGGGGAACATCTTTGTCGAGCTAAAGATGAGACGAAAAGAGGTCTTGATTGGCACCAGAGAATAAACATTGTTGCTGAAACAGCAAATGTTCTTGCATTCCTCCAGTCTGAGGTTTATCCCCCCATCGTACATCATGAACTTAACGCTAGTTGCATCTTCCTAGATGAGGACTTAACCGTGAAACTCTTTGGACTCGAGCTCTCCACAAATGCAACCATTGATTACAAAAAGCAAAGCGACGTTTACAACTTTGGACTGGTCCTTTTGGAGGTTATCACAGGTAGCAGCTCGGATCATGTTCCATCAAAGACGGCTTTACAGAAGATAACAAGCGGGAAGTTGGAAGAGATAGTAGATCCACGTCTTTATTATCACGAGCAGCCTATTTTTCGAAGGGAGCAGATAGAGATAGTTGCAGACCTTGCAACAAGATGCATAATATTTGGTTCCCAAGATGGCAAATTTCACATGGGAGATGTTGCGAGAGAACTGGTTCACATATCAAAAGATGGAGTTGATGGTAGAAGTAGGAGGTGTCCGTCGACTCATAATCTTGAAGAAACTTTCTCCAATTCAAGTCTTCTTCAGATGATATCTATGTCTCCTGATTCAATACATGTCCCTGCCAGAGGCTTCGCTTAAGAATCTCTTGTTCTGAATAAAAGCCACTATCAAATCACATTCTTGGGCTTTTGTCATCATTAAACACTTGCTGTAATTATGTAGTTATCTCCTCCTGCTTTCTCTTAAGTATACACAAGCAATCTCTTGTTTTAATAAAATTTTCCAACCCTCAATGTCTTAAATCCGTTTGTCACAATAGCTTTTGTACATTGCTTAGTGTCAGTCGTGTATTTTCGTATTCCTAGACTTCTGTTATTTTTGATTGCATTACTTAGTGTTAGTTTTGTATTTTTGCTTCGGTTTTCCGTTTGGTTTGTTGGTTGTTTTCTCTTCATTTTATCTTTCCTGAGCCGAGGGTCTACCGAAACAGCCTCTTTGTCTTCTTAATGGTAGGGGAAGATCTGCGTACACACACTACCCTCCCAAACTCTACTTGTGGGATTACACTGAGCTTGTTGTTGTTGTTGAATACTCTCCATCCAGTTACCTGTCATTGAAACTATTCACTACAATGATATTCACTGTACCTCATACTAAGTAAATGTCCAGATCATGAGATCAAATGTTTCTATCACATTGAACTGGCGTTTCTCCGATTGTACAGCATATCTTTCCTGTTGTAGTAGATCATTTGCCAGATTGCCAATCTACACTTACTATTAACCAAAATTAGATGATAGTGTAAAAGCGAGTCAGTTTAAATGTCTTGAACAAGTCAATTGCAACCTCACATCCTTATTATTCATTTTTTTTGGATAACGGTGTTGTTTGGACCAACTTGTGCGCACGTCGATTATTTCACCGGATATATATTACCTCTCATCAACACATATACCAAATAACTCTGCCTACTTAGGCTTAAGCAAATGGAAAGAAACCACCTAGTATTTTTTGTCTTCAAATGAATTTTGAACCCCGTTCTCCAAAATTTGCACACAATACAATGAATGGCCTAACTCTGGGTCTTCAGTGCATATCCTTACACCAGTTTTTTCCCCGATGCATTAGATATTCTGTGTTTACGCATGATTCGAGAAGGGCCGCACCTCAAGGGATGTGATGTAGACAGCCTACTCTAATGAAAAAGAAAACAAAGAAAATGCTGACTGCTCACTGCTCTTTTCCGTTGTTCATCAAAGACCGAGGATGTTCTCGAGATCTACTTTTTGCTAGATGGCTGTTGCAAACAAAAATAATCTGCTACATCCAGTGTATTGGTTTCATCCGAATCCAATAATTTGATACATAAAATAAAGTTATGTGAAAAAATCAATTAAAATTAAATGGAACCTATAGAACTGAAATTCAAGATTTGCCGTTGGTCTTTTAACTTTCATTGGTACTAAGGTAAATTTGGAGAAGCTTGTTTCTACCAAATTATTGAAGTGGAAATTTGGAATTGGTGACATAGCACAGAAGTAAACACTTGAAGCCCTGATTGGCTGTCACGGCCCAAAATTCGACTAGTCGTGATGACACCTCTAACAACATTCTTGGGCTTTTATCAACATTAAACACTTGCTGTAATTATGTAGTTATCTCCACCTGCTTTCTCTTAAGTATACACAAGCAATCTCTTGTTTTAATAAAAAATTCCAACCATCAATGTCTTCAATTCAGTTACCTGTCATTGAAACTGTTCACTACAATGATATTCACTTTAACTTATATTAAGTATTCAATGTCCAGATCATGAGATCAAATGTTTCTATCACATTGAACAGGCATTTCTCTGATTTACAGCAGTCTTTTGTCCTGTTGTAGTAGATCACTTGCCAGATTGACAATCTACACTTATCATAAACTAACCTTAGATAGATGGTAGTGTAAAAACGTGTCAGTTTATACATGGCTGCTGCAAACAAAATTAATCTGCTACACCCAGTGTATCGGGCTCATCTAAACCCAATACTTTCGATACGAAAAATAAATTTATGTGAAAAAATCCATTAAAATTGAATTGAACCCATAGAACTAAAATCTAGATTCGCCTCTGGTCATGTACCTTCATTGTCACTAAGTTAAAATTTGGAGAACCTTGTTTTTAGCAAATTATTCAATTGGAAACTTGGAATTGGTGACGCAGCACCGAAGTGAAAACTTAAAGCCCTGATTGGCATTGCAGAATTTTAAATCATTGAAAAACAAAGTAATCCAATTTCTTTCCATAGGCAATTCATAAGTTGCCATGGTTGAGAAGATAATACTGTAATCAGTGTTATCCCTTGTGGCTTTATTACTTACTGTCCCCAATATTAATCATTTTGACAAGCTTTATTTGTTCTAAAATGTTATTTTAAAAGAACAAGCATTTATTGTTTTTTTCCTAACTCACCTTTACTGCTCCAATTAATAGAGTATTAATAATGAAATGTTTATGACGAGATAAAAAGTAGTTTAAACTTAAGTGTCTTTCTTAAGAGGGATGCAGCAAGAACCTTAACAGACAAATAATATGACCGTACAGTCAAACATTTCTATAACAGCCTCATTTGTCCAGAAAATGAGGCAATTAACCCCATGCAAGAATAAAAAGGGGCAGATCAGTTGGAGATTTTAACGTAATATTTGTCTTTCATTCCAAAGACTACATATTTTTGTGGGATAATGAGGCAGCTTTTGTTGGTTGCTAGTGACAAAAGCATATCTTACCAAGGGGGTTTAGGGCCCAAATTTTTAGTAGAGACAGACATTATGTAAGCTTGTTTTGCAGGGAATAGGTATCCTGATAAGCAATAGAAGACTGCAATATCTGTAAAAGAGTTCATGAATACCATCTATTCAAGAGTTCCAGTAGTAGAGATGCTGCAGAATCCTTGGCTTTCTTTACACTCGGCATAGGTTCTCCGATACATTCATCTGTCCATCCTTTGTCTGAAGTATTTACGCGTACACCATATGTAAACCTCTTTGCATGTGCTGGACCACCCTCGTGCACACTTCTGAAAAAGACCAAATTATTGATTCAGTTTGCAATTCAGAGTGAGGATACAGACATATTTTTGTTCAACAATAACATAGCATTTGCAATAGCATGTAGGTAGAAAGCTAAAATGTAAAAACTCTTCTTACCGATACAGTGGCATAGGCCAATTTCTACGTAAGCATATATCATTCAACGTCTGCCTGGTATACGACGGGTTTCCGTTCTTCTTTTTCTTCCCATCTTCAGCCTTCTTAGCTTCGGCTTCCTCCCTCTCTTTCAACACAACAAGGGCATTCCTGGCAGCCAACTTCTGTGCCATTTTCTTTTGAGGATTCTGAGCCATTCCAACCTGAATACCATCCACATATACTTCAACTGTAGCTATATTCCCACTTCGACTTGCTTTGTACTCTAAGCCTTGAGCTTGTTGTTGACAACGTTCTTGTAGTTCACGAACTGGATGCATCGGCAGTGTTTCTGGTGTGACCATTGGATGCAATAATGGTTGAAAAACCTGAGAAAATTCACGAATCAAGTGAGCTGACATCCCTACCAGAATTCATTCGCCAATAACAGGACAGCTGGATAATGAGGTTAATTATTACAAGGCCTTTGAAACTAACCTTCCACACAACTGCAGTATCACACCCACTGTCAAGAAAAATAGCCCCAGCAATTGATTCAAAAATATCACCAAGAACTTTAGGAGCTTTGCAATCCCCTAAACCAAAGGAGTTGAAACCTGGTTTCGATAGTTCATTTTTAACCTCACTCACAAAGTCACGAATCTGGACAAAAAGGGGGGGAAATGGCATTGGTATTTATTCTTTGCAAAAGGAGAAAGTCCAATACTGACAAAAAAAATGAGTATGCAAAGTGGAAGCGAAGTTAAAGAACCTGCTTTTCTAGGGCACTGGATCCATGACGAAGGTGTAAATGAAGGCCATGTTTAACCGCAACACGTGCAAAATTCTCATTGTTCACAGCTGCAGCTCTCAAGTCGGTTAATCGGCCAGGGGGAAGATCTGTGTATGTAAAGAACAAGTGCCTCGTGATGAGATGATCTAGTACTGCATCACCCACAAACTCCAGTCTTTGATAACAGGAGACCCCAGAAGACGGGCGTGAAGCATGAGTCATTGCTTCTAGCAGTAGGCCTTTATCATTGAAGCTGATGTTCAGAGCACCTTGTAATTTATCAAAGTCAACACTCCTGAGTACATTCTCGGGAATGCTATAAGGCCTAATAGAGTACTCAGTCTCTTTGAAGTCAAAATCAACCTCAACCCCGATCCATTTCATGAAATGGTTTGCAGCATACTTTCCACCATCAACATAATATACGCCAATCAGTGCTTCCACAACATCAGCCATCGTCTTGCTAGAGAGTACACGATACGAACCTGAATCGGTATCAAGCTCACCTTCTTCAGCTTCCTCATCTTCAAACTCATCAGCAGCAAGAGTCTTTGCTGCTACAGTCCCATTTTCTGTTATTTCATGACCAAATATGGATGATTCGTCTTCATTGATGTCCTCGTCATACACAGGCAACACCCCTGGAGCAGCCCACCTCGATGGAGAAAATCGATCTGCTTGGATGTATGATTGGAGTCCCTTATTTAAGGCATATTGGTACAATACCATGTTGCTTACCAATTGTTGTCTCATCCTGGTGAGTTGGCCTTCATGTTTCTGGGGATATTTAAGGAAAAGATACCGACTAACAACCCATTTCAGATAGGCATCTCCAAGAAGCTCTGCTCTTTCATAGCAGAAAGTCTCTTGGCAGGAAGCAGCTGTCAATGCTTCCAAGATCTGTATAACAAAAGGCTTAGGCATCAAATGAAGTCGTAAAGACAAACTCCAGAAAATAATCAGAGCTTTATTTTACCTTCAGTGCTGGGACAGGGTAACCAATCATATCCTTAAGCTGAACAGCAAGCAGCATGCTCTCAACCCTCCTCATGATCGAGGGCAATCTCTGAGCACCCCGAACAAGGGATCCCGGAAGTGGATGTAAAAAGCAGAGCTCAGGAGGGAGGAAAACATAATATGTTTTGTCAGTAGCTTCTTCAAGTTCACCCTCGTGTTCTACAAAAATTAATTCCACAATTACCAAAAAATGACATGAACTAGAGACAAGCTCAGTCAGAAAAAAAAAGGAAACAGGCAAAGTATAAGCAGACCTTCTGAATGTTCAAATCGTGGTGACAGAAGGTTCTTGCAATATGAAACACCACGGCCTCTTAATAGAGGCTGCTTTTTATAGACCAAATCAACTCCATACCTGCATACAAATCGGACTGGATAGCCAAATGCACCAAGGTTGTACTTGAAAACAATTGAAGAAAAGAGCTTCTCAAATCTAGGACTTCCAAATAGCGGATAAGGGAAAAAGTGTACGCCAGTTGCTCCAAAAAGCCAACTTATCCCGCCCTTGAAAGTAATTCAGCCTTTAAAATGAGAAGCCTTTTATTATTCAAGTACAACCAAGGTGCACTGATACCACCCAATCCTTGCAAATAATTAAGCATTTGTTAGCAGCAGAATTTAAGAAACCATGGTTCAAACTTCTGAGGACGTGGGAAAAGAAGAGGAGACACTAAGATATGGGTGATAACGTACTTTTGCTTGTAATAAGCAGCATAACTGCTGTACTCAAGAGGACCTAGGTAACCTTCTTTCCTAGGAAATGAGTTCTCTGCAGTCATATCATTGGGAATGCAATCAACATAAAATCTCTTTCCAGAATGAGCTGCAGTGACAATTCTTCCTACAATATCTTCTGGTCTAAGACAACAGTCAGCCATCATTATCTTGTCTTTACTCGAATCAACTTCAACCAAATCAAG